ATATATGAACATAAATGAACATATAATACACTAATGTAATCAAACACAATTAAGCATATGTGAACATAAAATAAACTTATATGAACGAACGTAAATGAAAAACATAAACGAACGTTCACGAACATAATTGAACGAACGAGATCATTGTTATGTTCGTTCATTTAACTAAACGAACGATAATTTGTGTTCATGTTCGTTCGTTTATTAAATAAACGAACATAAACGAACTTCCCGCCGAACGGTTCACGAACAGTTCGTTGAACGTTCAGTTCGTTTACAGCCCTAGTTATAACCGACAACGTTTATTATAATGTTTAATAGTTTTGTGGTTGAATAAGAGTTTTTTTTATAAGTTTAATGTATTGGATTTTTTTTCTGCATTTTAAGCAGAAAAAAATGCATTTTTTTTTAAATTTTGTATTCATTTTAGTGACGGAATACCTACGGAAAATCCGTTGGTAATGTTTTCCGTAGGTAACAAAGTCAATGTCGGTCAAAGCGGTCCTGTTGATAATCCGTAGGAGATCCGTCGCTATTTCTTTTCGTAGGTATTCCGTAGAAAAATATGAGTCGTCAATAATCCGTAGGAAATCTGTCGCTATACCTCTTCGTAGGTATTCCGTCGGTAAATTACCTACGGAAGAGTGTCGTCGGTATTCCGTAGGTAATCCGTCGCAGTTCCGTCGCTAAAATTTACCCACGAGCGATTATGCTACGGCACATTTTCCGTCACAATTCCGTAGGTAAAGCTGTATACCTACGGAATACCTACGGATTGTGCCGTAGGTATTTTGAGATTTTCTAGTAGTGGTGGGCTAGTACTAAAGTCGATATAAAATCATCCTTATGAGGCTATTGGGTGGAGAGAAACCATACTATTAAATGACTATTAAATGGGTAAGGAAAACCTTTTGATTCATTTAAAAATTTGAATCGATTGAAAGAAAACGACAAGATTAGAGGATATTGATCGAATTGAAGGAATAAGGGAATATTAGGAAGTTTACTTTGTAAATTTTTGTGCTGAGAAGATGTCACATAAACAAAAAGGGATTCTTATATTAGGAAAAGGATTCATACAAAAAGCCCAACACATATGATGACATACAACTAATAATTGAATGATATACAAATTAATAATTGAAGGGTACATATAAATTCATCCAAAAGTATTGAACTATATTTTTATAATTAATGCATCATGATTATTAGAAATAGTCAAAATTAATTTGATAAAATAAATGTATAATAAAAAATTTAAAAAATTGTGAGGGTACATATAACTATATAACATCCTAATAGTTGACTTTCTTGGCGTAGGGTGCAAGTGCTGTCTCATAACTCCATAAATACCAGTCAAAATATATAAAAAAAAAAAAAAAAAAAAAAAAAAAATTGTATCGAGGGATTAATCTCATCACCAAGAATTTACGTCCCATCAAGTTGGGTTTTCGTCCTAAAGTATCACCCACTGCTGTATTTGATCTCCAAAGACTTAAAGTCAGTCGACTCATATGGAAGAACACAAGGAATGCGACGCCATAGGTTCGCAATCACAAAAAAGGAACCACATTCATCGTGTTTATTTCGTCAAGTTTCAGCCATTTCCTGATGAAATGGAAAAAGAAGAGGCCGAAAATCAGTATAAGTTGCTGGGTCTTGCTCAATCCAGTATCAACGAAGACATAAATCGACTAAAAGTAAGTTTTTTTTTTTTGCTTTGCATGGATCGATTAATTAATGTTGCAAAAGGAAGACTCACTCAACATGCATCTTTGCTTTTACGTACGTTTCTAAATTTGTTCACAGGCAGATGAACTTCAAATAAACCGGAAATTAAACTGGTTTTCACGTTGTGATGAATATATACAATGGAAGAGACAAGAAATCGAGAGTCTTCAAGGTTGTCATGGTAAAGTCGAACCTCCTTTGCCGGAAAAAGATGATCAGAAACGCTGCCATAAAAGACTGATCAAGGAAGGGAAGCTGGATACGGAGTATTTGCAACAAGTTCAGGAAGAACTTCTATCTTCAAAGAAATCCGGTGGAATGAATTCTTGTGGTAGACAAGAACTTAAATATCTGGTATGTTTGATAAATTCTTACACCTTAAATCTACTTTATCGTTCAAATCAACATAGTAAGTTCTTTCATTCACCATTCAAAGGTCAAAAGCATGTCCCAAAGGATCCAACATGGAAACACGAATAGTAGGGCAGATGAAATGAGAATTTATCACGAAACAAAAAATGTAAATGAAACAAGAGAAATGTACACTGCACCAGAATCTGAACCTCATAGTCATTGGCATTCAAGAGAACGGAAATCGAAGCGAGATATGGATTGTGAGAGAGCTATGCAACATAAGATAAAGGTTGCATTTTATTTTTTTTCTATCTTTGGGTCTTTTATATATATCATTTATCGTACTAAAATCATATGATGTAATTAAAAACTTCTTGTTAGATTCGGTTAGACGACATTGAGGACATGAAAATGGATCTAAGGGGACGTAAAGCTAGAGTTGCACGACTTAAAGCTGATTTGGAACTTGTAAGAAAGAGCATTGGTTGTTTACACAAGGAGCTTGAAGAAGTTAATACAAAGAGATCCAAAACCTATAAACGTGCTTTTGAGCTTGGGGAACAAAAGAAAGGACTGGTACAGTTGTATATATCTATTTTTAGTTTTCAAAAACATATATACATGTATTTATATATAAACGCGAAGGTGATTCATAAATTTGATTGCTTCAATTAATTTAGAGATACGCAAACGCACTTATACGAAAAGGCGATGTTGTTGGACTAAAACAAGTATGTGAAACACAGGTATATATGCATCCAAAAATAACCACTAAAAGTCTTAAAGGATCAAAGTACGGGTCTTTGAACTTCTAAAAATTCTTACTTGTGATTGTTAGGTTCAAGGGTTCATGAGGCAGTGGACCAACAGTAAAGCATTCAGGGACGATTACGAGAAAAGAAAGCTGGTGTCGAAGAGTTAATTTGGAACCCATTGTTTAAAGTTAAATGGAGTTCGATGCCTTATATGTCGTTGTGCTATCTTTGGTATTATTATAGAAATTTTACTTCCAATACAATTAAGGACGTTAAAACATATCTCGGGACCAAGATAAAAAGAATGGGCCCCTCTACTACCAAAACAAAAATTGCCTCGATACTAAAACAAATGAGCAAAATACCTTTATAAATAACAAAAATCATTTATACTCTAAAATAATAAAGATATATACAATTTAAAGTCCACTAGCTAATTAACAATACTTTTTTTGATCATTGATGCAAAATTACTAATAATGGTATCACGAACTCATGATCAATATGATATAATATGTCCTTCTCATATACATAAAAAAAGGGGAAAATGACATATATGCCCCATTATGTTTCTAGGGTTTACCCTTTTAGTCATTTAAGTTTTTTCGTGGCTTTACGAGGGAACTAAGTTGTGGGTAACCTGTCCTTTTAGTCTTTTTACTTGTTTTAGCCGGTTTGGATAATAGATAGACCAAACTTGGGCCCCACTCATATCTCTCTCGACTAAACCGATTTTATGACCTATCAAAGTCAAACGTTTCCTCACTAGATCTGTGTTCATCGTCTCCAATGGCAAGCTGATAAAAAAGTATCAACTCAAACTCAGATCTCCATATACAAAATCAAAAACCCAGAAATTGTAGAGAGAAAAAAAATGGAAAACCACACACATCGTCGACCTTTCATTTACCACGTTCATAATGAACTTACCACAACCTTCATCGCCATCTCCACAATTGCCTCTACCGGCGACAACAACTCATCTCAGAAATCAGTCGTGGGTATGGCGGTCCATAAAGCAGGAGATTTAGCCATATGGAGCGATGATCGGATCAATAGGGTTGGTGAAAGTTCTGGGAAATCAACTGACGGATTAAAGGGAAGCGATGGAAGAAGAGATGAAATCGAAGTTAGGTCTTGTAAGACAAAGAAAGGGCGTAAAAGGGGAGACAAATTAGGGAAAGTTTCAAAGAGGGGAAAGAATGCGACTCCAGTTTGTTTAATTGTTGAATCTGATGATGATGTTGATGATCATGTGGGGCTGAATGAACCCTCTCCTCCGAATCATTGTGAATTTAGAACCGAAGATACTTTTGGAAGTGGAAAGGTCGAGAAGAAATTGCGAAGCTGGAGATCTTCAAAAAAGGCAAGAACACGAATCGAAATAGCCTCATCGGTGATTAGAGAATGACTGTGGCCATGGATACTATGAAGACGACGATGGTGTCGAGTTGAGGTAGGAATCAAAAGACGTCTGATGTCGCAGTCTGATGTCGCAGGGGTTTCTACACGTGGAAAAACAAATAAAAAGTTCGAAAATGGATTTGCTGTCTCAAATAGGGTTTTTTTAGGAGGAAATCTTGGATAATAAAAGCGCGAGAACAAATGATTCACAACATAATAGTGATGATGATGATGTGCTTTCATTATTGGAGGGTAATGTTAAATCAAGCAGGAGCCACAGGAGGAATGATAGTTCTGGGAAGACGATTCATGAAGATAAGTTTGTGACTTCACATGGTTGTCTCCTTGATGAAAGTGATGACCATGAACATATTACATTAGATGATGATATTACATGTTTGGATGACACTCATCCCTCCCATAGCTCACGTGTTAGAAGCAATGATGTAAAGTTAAGCCCGGTGGAATTGGATTCCATTTAAGCATATGATAATGAAGGTGATGATGCATAGGAGCTAAAGTCATCCGAAGACGACAGTGATTGGCGGGACTTGGACCCACCTGAGAATGCTAATGTGGTTGGTGGTAGATGTTGAAGTTATCAGTTTGAGAAAGAGAGAGAGAGAGACCCTTTTATTATTTTTAATATTAAAATATAAAAGTAAGTGTGTCACACCCCAAAACCAGAACGGCGGAAACGTTCTGGGGTGCAGGACTTCATGTACAGTATCACAACAAAGCATAATAGTAAACAAGCAACAACATCCATTGCATTAATAGAATAATTTTAATACAAGCGTGTTCTGTAGTTTATAAGACACCAAAATGAATAGTCAAAATAAAAGATGAGTCTTGTATGTGCTCCATCTTCTCAAAAGCTTCATCGGTACCTGTCTACTAATGACCTGAGAATACAAGTTATTTTGAAAGAGTTTATCAGCATTAATGCTGGTGAGTTCAAAAATATTTAGTGTCATTACTTGTATGAAAATGTTTGTAACAACGTAATGTAAATGTTCGTAGTTATTTGTAACTGTTTGTAAATGTTTGAACTCCCTAGAAAATCCTATATTTTCTACTGAAATGTAGTCTTCTACCAAGACCCGATTGTTTGTATATTTGTTCCTTTGTAAATGTAAAAGTTTTCCCCAGTGATACTATCATTATAAAAATATAGTTTAAGTCATCGTTTATGTGAGATGATCACAAAATACATGTAATAGGGGAAATATCATGTTTTACCCCAGTATTGACACTATTGGCTATAAAGTGATAAAAATGCAGACTCCAGGTAGTATTAAATGTACAATACACCTCGGGGAGTCTGTTTGCCTTTAACCCTAAGTCGGTTTATTAAAGGTTTAAATGTGAACTCGTATGTAACCATGCTGATCGACGACTGTATAAATGATGACCCTCCGGTGTCATATGTCGTGAGGTGACATTCTGTCACCCCTTGGCCTTATCGGCT